GGGCCCTCTCCCCTGGAGGATGGAGGGCCGTGCCTCAGGAATGCCTGTCCTCAGGAGCGTGTGGCTGAGCTGAGAGACTCCAGTGAAACTTGGAGCTCAGAGAAGTGATGCTGGGGCCCCGCTGAGAGTCAACTCTGACCCTCACCTGTTCTCACCTGGCATCTGTACCTGCCCCACCCCCCAGGACAGCCCCTCAAGACCCCTCTGAGGTGCCACTGCCCCTGGGAGCACTGGCCACACTTTTTTGCTGTCCTCTTAAAGGAGCTTTGGACAGAAGCAGCCTGGCGTCCTGAGGGTCAGGGTGAATCTTCACTTCCCACCTTCTCTGGGGGGGCTCTGTTGCCCCCTCCTGTAGGGCTGGCCTGCCCCATAATCTCAGCTGACAAGAGGGACACCTGGTACGGGGCAGGGTTCTCTCCTTGGAGGAAAGGGGAGGGGAGGGCTGCTCTTTTAGGACTGGGCAGGTGCGTAAGCAGAAGCCAGCGTGACTTGACTCCCCTACCCCCCTTTATCATCCCCCGCCTCGTTGGCCCCAGGACCTGCCTCCTGCACTGTCCAGGCCTCAGCCCTCGGATCGCCACCTCAGGGCTCAAGGTGTCCCGCAGGGAGGGGATGGGAGTGGGCTCCTTGGAGCCGTGGAGGACGTCTCAAGTTTGTCCCGGGCGGCAGCAGCCGCACGCAGCCTTGGGCCGAGCACAGCGTCCTCACCGCCGTAGCCTCTGTGGGAGACACTGGGACCTGGCGGACTCCTGTTTCCTGGGATGAAGGGCAGTTGCCCTTCTGAGAGCCCCGGGCCCACCGGCAGGACAGGGCCTCGACATGGGGTCTGCTCCTTACGGCCTTGGCCTCACCTCCCCCAGACGAGCCTCTCCATCCCTGACATCAAGACGGCCTTCAGCGACTGCACGGGCAAGATTGGCAGGCGGGACTGCCTGACCCAGGCCTGCTCCGCCCTCACGGGGTGAGTGGGCTGCGCCTTCGGGGGTTTGGGGACCGAGGCCAGCCCCCTCACAGCCCTGTCTTCGCAGCAAGGGGGTGCGTGAGGGCATCGAGTGGATGGTGAAGTGCGTCGTGCGAAACCTGCACCGGCCGCCCCGGCAGAGGGACATCACGTAGGCGCCGCCCGCCGCCTGCCTGCCGTGGGGACGCTGGTCCCCTGGTCCCCGGTGCTGGAGGAGTGGTTCCTGTTGGCTCCCGTGCTGCTCATCTGGGGGGTGGGTTTACTTTGCTTTGGGGTTCCTCTGTTGCTTTGTTTTCTCGAAGACAAACTTTCCTCTGTGTCTGGAGAAGCAGAGGCTTCGGTGGGGAGCCAGGCAGCCTGGCTAGCCCAGGCCCTCTGGCGCCCCTTCCACGGGGTGCAGCTGCTGCCCTCTTAGGCCCATTCTGGGGGGTCTGAGGGAGACCTGGTTGGGAGTTGGGGCTCCAGTGCTTAGGCTGGCTTGGGCTGTGTGGGGACAGCTCCGTGGGGCCTTTGGGAGATCCTGTAGCTGCCTGTCCAGCCCATCAAGGAAGAGGTCGGTGAGGCCATGGCTGCCCTCTGGCTTCTGCTCCCTGTGACCTGAGAGGTGGTCTGGGGCTGAACTTGCCTTGAGGAAGACCCAGGCCATGTCCCCAAAGGCCAGTGGGGCCCTGGGTTCAGATGCAGCCTCAGGACAGGGCTGAGGAGGCCTGCCTGGCTTTACCTCATCTTAACTCCCCTGGAGGAAGCTTACTGATGCAAACAGCTGAGGGGTCCTGCTGGGAGTGTTTTGTGCCCCACACCTGCACGCTGGGGAGTGTTTGTGGGGTCCAGAGCCCTCCTCCAGCCAGGTGATGCTGTGCCCTGGGCCCCCTTGGCATGGGCTGGGGGGTTCTCTGTGGGGCCCCGAATCAGTGCTGTGCTGGGCCTGCATCCTGTTTGTTTGGGGGTGAGGCTGGTCCTGGGGCCCTCCCTGCACAGCCCCCACAGGGCCCGCCGAGTGTTTTGCTCTTCCCCAGTGGGCTGAAGCTGGGTGTGGGCAGGAGCTGCCTGCCCAGTGCTGTCCAGGGTGAGCACAAAATAAAGACGGTGAGACTGGCTCTGTCCATCCCTTCCCTCCTGGAGGCCTGAGGCTCAGCTCTTGACGCAGTGAGGGTGGCCCCGGGCTGCTGAGGGCAAGTAAGGGGTTCCCCAGGTGGGCCCAGAGCCATGGCCTGTCCTTTCCTGCGGATATGGGACATGGGGGGCCTGGGAGGAGCTTCTGGGAAGGGACATGAGTCAGGGTGGGGTGGCTGTGACTCACGGGAGCAAGGCCTGGAAGTCCCCACGCCATCTCTGGGTGGGGGGGGAGGGGCCTGTGCATGTCCCAAAGGTTGATTCCTAGGACCTGTGGGAGGGCTGGGCCTCCAGCCACAGGGATGTCTGACTACGCTGGGGAGGGGTGTGTGGCTGAGGCAGGCCCCAGTTGCTCTGGATGTTTCTGGAGACTTCAGAGCCTGCCCCAGAGGGGAAAAGCCTCACTTCCCAGGAAGCGCACGGGATGCCTGGGGGTGGTCTCTGGCAGGTCCCCTCTCAGGAAATCCCGAGTTGGGAATGGGAGGAACTCAAGGGAGGTGGGGGGGTTAGTGTGGGGCCCCGATGACAGGCCAGCCTGAGCCCTGCCCTGTTCATCCAGCAGGTATGCCCACCCAGGTCGACCCCCATGAGCTTTGGTGACCCCGCCACACGCCACAGCCAGCAGGGAGCAGAGGGGGTGCTGCCCACTGACCGACCCCGGAAGGGGAAGCTCCAGGCAGCAGCTGTGGTGGGAGCCTGAGGGATCTGGGCAGCTCAGGCGTCCCCGCTGCCGTCCCAGTGGCTGCACAACAGGCCACAACCAATTTTACGGAATGGCTTTAAGAAACCTCATTTTTTAAGAAAAAAAGTTTTAAGCCTCTTCTTAGTGCATGTGGGGGCCAATGATGTACAATAAATAAGGGGGGCAAGGGGGCCAGGCTCAGTGTGCGGGGAGGAAGCGCTCACGGATGCTCCGCTCCAGCCCGGGCAGTCTGGCCACGCGCAGCGCCCGCAGCAGCCGCACCAGCAGCGTTCCGTCCCCCACCTCCAGGAGCTCCTTGAGCCGCTGCTGCAGCTTCAGCCGCAAGGCCACTCGGCCCGCCCTTGGTGCGGGACCCCAGCCCCCAAGGCCCTCGAGGGCCTGCTGCAGCCGCTGCAGCTTCTTGATGGAGACGTCCTGGAAAGTCACGAAGTCAATAAGGGCGCGCTCGCACTCCTCCGTTCCTGCAGGAGGAGGGGAGGCAGGGTCCAGTCATTTCCAGACAGGCTGGTGGGGGCCTGCCAGATACCTTGCTTTCAGAGTCAGCGCTCGCTGGGGCAAAGGCCTGAGGGCGGGAGTGACTGCTTGGAGGAGCGGGGCTGGGAGAGGCAACAGGGCCCAGGCAGGGGCTTGGGGCTCCTGGGCCATTGGGAGGGGCGAGTTGGGACCCCCAGATGGACTGGACCTGTCTTGACCTTAAGGGGGTCACTTCCCCCTGCGATTTCTCAACAGTGGTTGCCATTGGACCTCGGTTTCCCCATGTCGGAGCAGGCAGCCACCTTCCTCTGGAGCAGTTAGGGGAGTGTGCCATCCACCTTCCAAGTGCTCCCCAGAGGAGACTGTGCCCGCTTGGATCCTGATCCTCAGCCACCCCTGAGGTGGTGGCCTTGGTGGGGATCTAAGGCAGGGACCCCTGACCCCTTAAATCTGCCATGGGCCCTTCCCAGAGCCCAGCTGGCAGGTCCTCCGCTCACCTGGCTCACCCGGCCCACCTGGTAATGTGGTACTGAGGGGGAAGCTGGTGCAGCTGGTGCACAGGGCGTCATGGGTGGAGGAGCCCGGCACAGTGAGGGCCAGGCCCAGGGCTGTGCAGTTTCGGTGGGGTTGGCACTGCTCTGAGCTGGAACTGCTGGCTGAGAAGGTGCCTGGGGGGCATGGCTGGCACTGTGTATTCTGGCTGGGGGTGCCTGCGGCCAGGAGGGGAGAACAGGGTCAGGGGAACTGGTGTCCTCGCTCAGGGTGCAAGCCTGGGAGTGGCAACCCCACCCGCCACACCTCCGGCCACCACTCCCCGGAGGGGGACCCTCCCCTCGACCGCCTCTCACCCAGGGCAGTCACGCCGGCGCCAGGTGGACACAGCGTGTGCTCCAGGCAGAAACCAGCGTGTGCGAAGAAGCCGGCTCGGCAGCGGCAGACGCGGTTGTGGGTGGCTTGGCAGGGCCTCGCCTCCTCCTCTCGCTCCCCGCAGAGGACGTTACAGTAGCGGCAGCGCTCCAGGTAGTTCCAGAACTGTGTGTAGTGGCGCGGTGGACAGGGGCCACACATTGTGGGGCTGTCTCGGCGGCACGGGTGCTGCACAAAGGTGCCTGGGGGGCACTGGGCGCACTCCAGCCACTCTCCTGTCTCCGGGTCTCGCCGGGGGTGGGTGGGTGCTTCTGCCGCTCCTCGTGTGGCCATCACCAACAGCAGGGTGGGCAGCACCCATGCCGAGCACAGCAGGGACAGGCCTGGCCCCTCCAGTGCCCTCATGGTCCTCGCTGGAGCAGGGAGAGTGAGGCTCAGTGCAGATACCGGACCCTGCCGTGCCTGACCAGCATGCCCCCTCCTTCTCCCCCAGTCCCCAAGCCCGTCCTGCTGCAACCCTATATGGGCGTAGAGGGCGGGGCTGGCGTCGTCATGCCCCATGGGAACCCCTCCTTCCCCAGGCAGCCCCCTCACCCACCTGGCGCTATCCCTCCCCAGACAGGGGCCTCACCAGCCAAGGAACCACCCTTCTCAGCACCTGGGGCAGCTCCCGACCCAGCAGCCAGGCCAGATGGCCCGGGGTGTTGGTGGGTCCCTCACAAACTGCAGCTTGGCTGCAGCTGTGAGGACAAGGGCAGGGCTGAGCCCACTGTGGAGAAAGTACGTGTCACAGGGCGGGCTGGGAGGCAACTTTGCCAACTCCCTGTTCCTCTGTGCACCCTCAAGTCCCTCCACCAACCCCCAGCCATGAAAACACCATCCTGGGCACTGCCAGCAGTTTTATTAGAGAGCCCTGTCCCAAATAAAAATGGACACATGCCCACAGGGGCCTCCTTCCTGTCAGGGGCTCAGCTGGGACGCCTCTTGGGTACCACTCACAGGCTAGGAGCCAGGGAAAGTTCTGGGAAACACTTTCCCAGAAACCCACCCCAGACCCTAAGGTAGCTCAGGGCTTCTCAGAGGCAAGTCCAGATCTTGCTCCACTGCAGTGACCAACCATGGGCCCCGCCTGCCGGGCACCTGCAACAGGCCAGGCAGGCACAGGTGGGCCTGTTCTGTTGGGTGGGTTCTTGGCCCACTGGAGCTGGACAAGCAGTTGATCAAGCCACATTGGGCGTGCTGACGGCCTCCATGGGCACTCACTGGGGCTCCGGCCAGAAGACCTGCATGATGCTCTGCCTCCTGCAGGCGTTGTGGCAGGCTGGGCACGTTCTAGAGGCCTGTGGAGACAAGCAGCCTACTGGACATGCCTGCCAGGCACCACCCCCGGGCCAAGGGCCTGCCCTCTCCCCCTCAGCCCGCCACCTGAGGCCACGCCCGGCAGGGACTGCAGCAGCCAGGCACCAACCTGAAGGTGCCGTTGCCAGCAGGCCTGGCAGCGCTGGAAGTCACAGGCAGGGCACCGGAAGGGCACCACGTCCTCCGCCCTGCAGCCCCGACACACACAGCCCGCTGAGAGGGGCCCTCCTCCCGGAGCTCCCGCGGCCTGCTGCCCAGCGAGGCCTCTCCCATGAGGCTCACCCCACTCAGATGCTGCAGGCCCGTGGGGAGGTCTGGAGGACTGGCTGGGCCCTGCCGCTGAACCGTCCGCCTCCACGGCCCCCGCCGGCCTCTGTCTAAGGAAGGACGAGATCTTGCTCTGCGTCTTCCCGGCCTTCTCTGGCCATGAGGGGCCTGGAGGCAAATAAGTCAGTCTGAGGGGTGCCTGGGGCTTTGCTGCTCACTCCCAAGGTGGCATGGGGTTGGGGCGCCATCAGGAGCAGACAGGCAGGCACCCCACCTGGTCGGCGAGTCCGGTGAGCGAGCACAGGAGGCATGCCAAGGCTCTCCTCCTGGGGTCCCGGCAGCTCTGTACCCCTGTGGGGCCAGCCAGTCAGGTCTGTGCACGTCTGCAAGAAGTGCTGCTTGTGGTGTGGACGCACGAACATGCTGAACCCTGCAGGGGACTTCGCTCAGACCCTGCACGGCCCCACCCTGCCCACCACTTTCTGCGCCACCCGCTGCACCCTGGGGCCACTTGCTCTGCAGCAGGGGGAAGTCCTCGGGCCTCTCAGTGGTCAGGGCAGCCAGCACGGCCAGCACCTTGTCCAGGTCGTCATCCTGCTTGTAGGCTCTCAGCGCTGCCAGGAGCTGGCTACAGCCTGCAGACCCCAGGGCCTGGCGGGCATCTGCCAGGTAGGCACTCACGGCGCGCTGGCCCTGCTTCCCTGCTCTGCGTGCTCCAGACCCCCACTGTGGGTGGCCATCAGGGTCCCCTGGTGTGGGAGTAGCACGGCTCAGTGGCACTGGGGCGAAGGGCTGAGAGTCCCACCACCCTGCCTGCCCTTCCTCTCAGGAATTCCTGGATTGCTGCTCAGGATGGCCTTGGGGTGTGGAACCGGGGGCAGCCCCCACCAGGTGACAGCTCACCACAGCGGGGGCACCACCGGTAGCTGCAGCTCAAAGGCTCTGAGGCCACATCAGGCGCGAGCCTCGCCAAGGACTGAGGGCCCCACAAACTCGCAGGCTGCATGTGGCTCAGGAGCCAGCTACCTTTGGGGGGTGGTGTGGGGGTCAGGTGGGGCCCGCCCTGGTTCAGGTGCTCTCTGGGGTCCAGCTGCTGGGCCGCAGCCTTGGACAGGGTCAGCTTGGGATCCGGTGCCATCCTTCCTGATGAAGAGACACAGAGCCACATCTGGAAAGTTCCCCGGGGTAGGGGGCAGGGCTGGCTGAAGGGGCCTCACCCTCTTCAGACCAGGGAGGGGAAACCCAGACAGGCACACACGCAGGTGGCAGGGGCAGTGGAGGAGCCACCATCCTGCTGGACTGGGGCTGGAACAGTGGCGGGCAGAACAAAGCCCCGCTCAGGAGCCTTGGGGTGGGTAAGGTGTGAGGACACCCCAGTGAGCACCCAGTCCAGAAGGGGTCTGGGGTCTTCCCAAAAAGCTAGGCTCCCCGCTGGGGTGAACCCTGCACTAGGGGAACTCTGTGGGGCTGTCCTTAACAAGCATGAACACAGATGCTCCTGCCCCTGGAGGCTTGGACTCCACCCCAGGCAGAGGCAGGAGGAGGGAGGACAGGGTCTGGGGTTCTAGCACCCTGGCGTGTGCAGCTGACCCCCCAGGGCCATGCCTGGGGGGCAGGGGGCTATAAGAGAGACAAGGCCATGTGAGCGTTGGACAGGGCAGTGCATGGGGGGTCAGGGGAAGTGCACGGCGGGGTCAGGGGCTGTGGGAGGGACAGGGCCATGCATGGGGGGACAGGGGAAGTGCAAGGAGTTGCACAGGGTCTCCCCAATAAGTGATGCTGCTGCTGCTGGAGGTGGCCCCCATCACTCCCATACGGGAACAGAGGCACCCCAGGACCGCAGTACCACCCTGCCTTCCTCATAGGAGTCTGAGGTTCCCATAGGGGGCCCCACTTACCAGTGGGGTCCAGAGCTGGCTGTGCCCGCTGCCTTCGGGGAATGCTGTGCTCAGGCCGATAGCCACAGCTTCGTCCTGTTAGCTGGATGCAAACCTCCTCAAACTGCTGCTTGTGGTGGGGCCTCACAAACTGGTAGAAACCTGTGAAGGAAGTGTCTGTCCCGTCAGCCCCCACCACGCACAGCGGCAGCATGGCCCTCAGGGTGGGTGGCCTCTGCAGGCCAGGGCACCTTGGAGCAGGCTGTGCTTCTTGGGGTCCTCAGCAAAGAGGGGGCGGAGACAGGCCACCAGGGCAGTGAAGTCATCGGAGCCCTTGTAGTCCTGCAGGGCCTGGGTGAAAGTGGCAAAGTTGGCCTGGCTCAGCTCCTGCTTCACAGCCACCATGAAGAGCTTGGCCCTGTCCACCTGTGGACCAGCCACGGGCTCCTCCTGTAGGACACAGGCCCAAGGCTCCGTCAGGGTCAGCCTCACCATCCCACCTGGGGCTGCAGAGCCTTCCCTGGAGCACTGAGGGTTCCCTGGAACAGTGATTGCAGGGGGTGGGGTTCGGGCTGCTGCCTCAGACACTGGCTGGCTGGGTGGGCATAGGGAGGTGCTGCGGGAAGAAGGCCTTGGTGCTGGGCGGGGCTGGGCCTGTCTCGGATCACACAGTCAGAGGCTGGTAGGGAACTGAGCAGCGAATGGGCAGAGATGGGCTCTCCCTCCAGCTGGGGGTCCCGCAGGGCCCATCTCCCTCCTCCCTCAAGACCCCTGCCCCCACAGCTGATGCAGCTGAGGCTCCCAGGACGGGAGCTCACAGGAAGGGGCTTCCCATATGCAGTGCCCATCTCTGCACACCCCAAGGCAGGGGCGGCCCAGGGACTCCCCACCCAGGCCCCTCGGCAGCTACCACTTCCTGATGGCACCACCCAGTTCTTCCCAGAAGCCAAGGGACAGGGACAAAGGCTGCCGCAGTTGGGGCTTTCCAGCAGGCAGGGGGCTTCCTGGCTCCGGCTGTAACTCAGTTCTTTCATCCCAGGCTGGGAATAGGCTGCGCCCTCACATGGGGCAGGTACTCGTACACACTTAAGGGAAACGCCAGAGCCAAGCCTGCCCAAAGGTGGGGCCTGATTCCAGCTGGGAAGAAACCGCACACTTGAGCCCCCGGCCTGCCAGCATCACAGCTGCCCTGAATATCAGCTCCTGGGGTGGCTTCCCTGGTCCCGTCAGGCCACATCCCAACTTGGCTGGGGGCACCCAGGAGACCAGGAAGCCAGCACAGGTGCAGGCACTGCTCACGCACCGGGTGGCTGACCAGCCGGATCTTCCTCCTCCCTGCTCGTGGCTCCTCTGCCAGCCTCTTCTCAGGTGGGAGGGACAGGGTGGAGTGCCTGTGGGCCTGAGGAGGACATGGCTGTGGTTCCAACCACACCTTTGGGGCCCCAAAGCACCTGAGACATGTACCTGGGCCCACAGGGAAGATGGCACCCTGGGGCCCCAAGTAGCCAAGCCAGAGGCCGGAGGAGGGCTCACAGAGCACCCTGGTGAGTGGAGGCCGAGGGAGGGCTCACGGAGCACCCTGGTGACAGTGCCAGAACCCAGTCCTTTCCAAGCCACGCCACCAACTCATGAGGCTGGCAGGTGGCGTCATGTAAGAGCAGGTCCAGAGGGGAGTCTGACCACAGTGGATGGGCTGGCAGGAAGGGGACATGGGTGCCTGGTGTCTGCACCTGGGGTTCACTCCAGGGACCTGAAGGGCAGGGACGGGCAGGAAGAGGGGAACGGCTCCCAGCAGGAAGCAGGAAGAAAGCTTCTAGTCGGCCTGAGAAATTATGGGTGTCTGGGGCAAAACGCCCCAAGGAAGAAGGAACCTGGGTCCCAGCCACTGCACATTCCTGGAGAGTGCAGCCTCAGGTGTGGCCAGTGGCAGGGACGCCCGACCTTGCGTGCACTGAGCCAAGTGATGTGCCCACCAGGCAGGGGATTTACAGGGGCATGTGGGGAGGCGTCTTGAGGCCAGATGAGCAGGGTGGGGTTGGCCTCAGGAGACAGAGGGTCTGTGTCCATCCCAAGGCTCTTGAACCATACCTGCTCCTCGCCGGGGCCCCCAGCCTGCTGCTCGCTGTGCTCCAGGGCAGCCAGCAGCCCTTTGGGCCTCTGCCCGGCAGGGACAGGCTCCTGCTCATACTCCACACACAGGCTGCCCTCGGGGTCCTCAACAGTTGGCGACCCTGCAGAAGCACCCCAGTGCCCGCTGACACCCACAGGGGCCCCTGCCTGTGGGGAAGGCCCTACTGGGGAACAGTCCCAGTATTTGGGGGACCCTGCCTAGGAGGGTCCTGGGGGGCATCCTTGCCTGGGGCATTCTCTGCCTGTAGGGGAGGGTTCCAGCCCCTAGGGGCCCTACCCTGGGAGGGAGCAACAGCCTTTGCAGGTGGGAGGGACGGTGCATAAACCCAGGTGAGCCGCCTCAACCCGGGCACCTGGCACCACCCGCCTGTACCTGAGGGCTTCTGCTTCAGGCTGGGGACATGCAGGTCCAGACTCTTAGCTTTCCTGGTGGAAAGGAGGGCGCCAGGCGACTTGGCCACCCTGACATCATCATCTTTCTCACTCAAGCTGGATGCTGCAGCCCGGGGGGCCGGTGCTGGCATCTGCAGAACCGTGGGGGTGGGTGGGCCTGTTTCTGGCCCCTCTGGGGACAAGACCCTCACCCCCTCCCAGGGCAGGAACTCACACTTCGCTCAGCAACACGGAAGAACTGGACCACGTCTCGGATGACGTGGCCAAAGTTGTCGTACACCCTGACATGGGGGCGTACCCAGGAGGGCAGCTGGGCTCTGGCATCGGCAAAGGCGAACCTGGGGGGGGGGGCACAGCCTTGCCGCTTTGCCCACAGCCACTTCTGGGGCTCAGTTCACCAATGTGAAGACCCTCATCTGCCTGCAGGGGCCCCAGGCTGACCCAGAGTAGCCAGAGAGGCTCTGGGGGAGGTGGGGCCTCATAGGGGGAGGGAGAGTCCAGGGGCCCAGTTGGGGGAGGGAGCCTCCCTGGGCCTGCACCTGTGGTCACAGAGGAAGACAGCCCCGTAGTCCTGGCGGTGCCGGATCACTCGCCCGATGGCCTGGTTCACAGCCCTGGACGCCTGCTGCCGGTACCATTCCTGCCCAGAGAGAAACTGTGGGGCCAGTGGGCTGTCATGGCAGCTCAGTCACGGGGGGAGGGGCTCAGTCACCAGGCCGCCTTACCCCAGCCCCACCTTGCTGCAACTCACCTGGCCCCCAGCCCCACCCTGGCCCTTCATCTCATCCAGGAACTGCATCTTGAGGACAACCCGGGGATCCATGCGCGGGGGGTATGGGAGGCCCGTGATGATCACACCACGGCCATTCGTGTCTGAGAAGTCCAGCCCCTCGCTGGCCTAGGGGACAGGCCAGGGAGCTGCCTGGGGCTGGGCTGGCGCCTCTCCTCTGGCTGCCCACACCCAGCCCGGCCACCTTCCCCGAGGCACCATCCCAAACCAGGGGTAAGAGAAAGCCCCATCTGTGGATCAGAACCCCACTTGGGGTCCACAGTTCCTTGTGGCGAGGAACCTCCTGCATCCTACCTGCCCCTGGCCCTGAGCAGGACCTGCTCCCAGCAGGGCCAGCAGTGCTGCGCTCTTGTGGAACCCGAGGAGGGGACCAGGCAGCCCTCAGGGCACAGAGTCTGCTGGGGAGCCATGAGCACCCACCAGGGAACAGGCAACCACATCAGGGCGGAGGCCAGAGGGCTCACCTTGCCCCGGCACACAGCCAGGAAGGCGGCGCCGGTGGACCCGGGAGCGGTGACCCTCTCGTAGTAAGCACTAATGGTCTAGAAGGAGAGTCGGTCAGACTGAGCCTGGAGCCCACCCCTGGCTCCTTCCTCCCCTATGAGGAAGACCCAGGTCTCATCCTCCAAGATGAAGGATCATCCTAGCCAGGAAGGTCAATCGGGGTCTGGAGGCTTCTTCCTGGCACGGATCCCGGGCTGACCCCGCACCTGCTTAATGCTTCCCAGAAAACATGGGGAACCCCAGGGCTAGAGTGGCTGGCTGGGACTAGTCAGACAGGAGGGCCACCATCACCACACCCACCCAGTGCTGGGGTCTTTCTAAGAGGCAACACCCAGAGCCAGGAAGGAAACACAGGAGCCCTGAAGAGGCAGCCGGGAGCCAGCCAGGGCCAGGGTCAGGACTGGTGGTCAGCCTCAGGAAGGCCGTGAGGAGCAGGGGAGGCATGGGGGAATGGGCCCAGAGCCCCGGCCACGTGCCGACCTCAGAGAAGCTGACTTTGCTCCTGGGTTCCACAAACAGTGGCTTCAGTGCCTCTATCTTCCTGGCCAAGTCTCGGGCCTGGGAGAGGAAGAGGCAGGGACACAGTAGGCCTGGTTACCCCGCCATCTGATGAGGGCAGGCAGGGGCTGTGGCCACCACCTGCTCTGTGCTCCAGCCCTGCCCTCGCCCACCCTGCCCAGGACACTGGGAGAGACGCACCCGCCAGAACTCCAGGCTTTTTTCCATGACGGGATAAGAAGGGAAGAAGACGAGGAGCCCGCAGGGGACCACGCGGGCGATGTTGCCTGCAAGTGCCGTAGCCAGGGTCAAGGCAGGGGCGGGCGTCTGCGGGGTCCCTACCAGCTCCTGGGAGCAGGGGTCCAGGATTCGGGATGGGCACAGCTGGGGCACAGGGAACTCACCCAGAGCCTTCCCCAGGGAGGACAGGCACTCCTCAGAAAACCTGCAGAGCGGAGAGGCCACTGCTCAGGGCCTGGGGCTCAGCACCCCCACCTCCCACCCTAGCAGGGCCCAGGGACAGGCCCTTACCGCCTGTCAAACGCAGAGCTCAACTGGGCTCCGTCCGGGCCTCTGGGGACGACCCCTACCCAGATCTGGTGCTTGTCAATGATGTGTGGGTTCTCCAGGCAGACTGGGAAAGGGCTGAGCATGGCCAGTGGGAGCAGACAGTGGGGAAATGTACCAGCACCCCTTTAGCCCGTGAGGCCCGAGACCCCAGCACCCCCGCTCATGGGGACCCCCCAGCACCCCCACCCCACTGGCATCACCGGCGTCACCAGTGCTGAGGCCCCTGGCAGGGTGGCCGTACATCTGCATCTCCAGGGCAAAGGAGGACACCGGGGCCAGCGTGCCGCTGGTGAGGATCAGGGCGCGGACGCCCTGGCGGACCAGCTCGCGCATGCTGTGGCCAGGACTGAAGCACCAGTAGCTCAGCACCTTCCCTGCGGGTGGCAGGCGGGGGGTGCAGGGTGTGAGGACGGGACTGGGGGCCTGACCGCCTGCCTCTCTGCCCATCACCCTCTCCACCCATTGCCATCAAGCAAGTGAGCCGCCCGAAGCCACCCAGGCCCAGTGTGCAGAAGTCAGAACAAAGAACACTGCCCTAAGTGTGAGTGAAGCCTGCCAGCTGGGGGCCACTCTTGGGGGTCCTGGGAGTAGGAGGCGACCCCAGGCAGATACTGGGGACACCTCCAGAGAGGTCAGCCCACTCTAACACTAAACTTCTCCAGAAATGGTGACATGGGGCTCAGGGCAAGGAGCCCATCCTGCTAAGAGCACACGGGAAGGAAGCAGCCAGCGCCCGTATTCCAAGGAAGCGCAGCGGAAGAGGGACGGCCTGGAAGCGGGAAAGTGTGCGCAGGCCTCCGAGATGCGTCAGCAGGGAACAACGTCACTGGTTCAGGGGAGTTCCCAGAAGTGGCTGACCGGCTGGCCGAGGCGGCCGTGGCCTGCGGAGGAGGCTGAGCCTGTGTGTGCACTGGAATTTGGGAATCCACACGGTGCTAGCAGAATGACTGTGACGCTAAAGTCAAGAGTGGGCCGGCAGGGACAAAGCACCTTCCCTAACAAAGGCAACACGGCTTCCTGGGGCTGAATGTGCCCTGTGACGAGGAACCCCCCCCCACCTCCCCCACAACTTGCCTCCCCACCTCTAGGAGCTCATTTCCTACAAACGCCCAACACAGGGAGTGGCTGCTTCTGAGAAGTCAATGGAACAAATTCCAGGCCCTGGGGATCTGCGCGCTGCCAGCTGCCTCAGGCACGGGCTGCCTCCCGTAACCCCAGCTGCGTGAGGGGCTGGTCTCCCTCACAGGATGGAGCCTTCCCGCTGGACAGGCCTTGCTGCAGGCCATCACTGAGCAGTGTCAAGCCACCGGCACTGATGCCCCCCCAGCCCTTCCCTTTCGGCTCCTCCAGGCAGACTCAAACCACTGCAACCACACTTGGGGCTGCCTGAGCCAGGGCCATGTTGTGCCACTGTGGTTTGGCAGATGGCAGCAGACACAGAACGTGCCAGAGAGGGATGAGCCAAGCCCAGGGACAAGGCCCCACTGGGGCACAAGGAAGGAGCAGTAGCTCCGCCACTGCAGCTGTGAAGCCCCCCACTGGACACCACACAGTGGGGGTGGGGCCAGACACACCCCAAGAATGGAGGGCTCTGGACACAGAGCTGAGGGGACACTCACAGATCCCATCCACATGGCATCCCCAGTAGCTCCGACTCCAAGAGCCAGAGTGTGGGAAGCCTCGGGGCCTGTGCTCGCCATGGGCTTCGGGCAACGGGGTTGGCCAGGCAGCCTTCGGATGGGACCGAGGCTTGGTCGAGGGTCTCCCGGCAGCTCAGGGACCGGCCAGGTGCCAGGTAGAGGCCGGCGTGAGAGCTGGGCCTCACTGCGCAGGTCTGTGCTGACCGCCTGGGCATAAATGAGCGTGTCCTGGCAGAGAGGCCTGACTGGACTGTGGCTCTGCCGCCACCAACCACGTGACTTCGGGCAGGTCATGGCGCTATCAGGCCCTCTCCTAGGTCTGTTTAAAAATCTGGCTAACTCCAGTTTTCAGAGTGGCAGTGAGGCGAGGCTCTCAGGAGGCTTGGACATGGAGAAGGTGGCCAGGCCCAGAGGGGCAGGAGACCCCCGGCTGGCCGCATGCCTAGCCATGGCATGGTGGTGCCGGATGCCGCTCCTGGGCAGGTGGGGAGTGCGTGGACCCAGGTCCATACCTGGCTTTCTGGCTGCAGTGGTGCTCCAGGCGTCAGACCGCTGAGCTGCCCTCCGGTGACCGGCATCAGGATGGATGTGTACCTGGGGGGACAGGACCAGGTGTGTGGAGCCCTGCCCACGTCCTGGGGGCCGCCCCTTACTGTTCAGGTCCATGGGACCCCCACCTCCACCTGCCTCCTGGAGGGGGGTCCCCTACCTTATAGGACCGTAAGGCCCCCAGCCCCTCCAGGAAACCAGGGCCGCCCTCAGAGGGGTCCACACTGAACACGATCTGAAAGGAAGAGGAAGCGCAGCCCCGTCAGGAGCCTGAGCCCAGAGCCCAGAGCCCTGCAGGGTGCACAAGCGTCCCCAGGGCACGGAGCCCTAGAGGCCACCCGACCTTCCACAGCACTAGCCCCACACATGGAAGGCCAGACAACACCCGGGGGTCATGGGTTTACCAACCCCTGCCGCCATGTAGTGCCAGGCCAAGGGACAAGACCTGGCACCTGCCTGATGCCTCCTTGAGCAGTGTCCCAGTGAGCTCTGTGTTCCCCACACACAGTCCACCTCCACGCACTGGAAATGCAGCAGCCAGCAGGGCCTCTCCTTGCCAACGGGCCCCGCCCTCCTCTCTGTGTCCCTGAGGGCCCCAAATTAATCTAGAAATTCAACGTGGCCTAGTATGGTGGCGCACACCTGTAATGCCAGCACTCTGGGAAGCCGAGAGAAGCAAACTGCTTGAACCCAGCATTTCTGAGACCAGCCTGGGCAACATGGTGCAACCCCAGGGTCTCTACCAAAAAAAAAAAAAAAAAAATAGAAAAAGTAGCCAGGCATGGCGGCATGTGCCCGTGGTTCCTGCTGCTCGGAAGGCTGCGCTGAGGCTGCGGTGAGCCGTGACGGTGCCACTGCACTCCAGCCTGGGCGACAGAGACCCCGACTGAAAAACAGTCAACACACTCCAGTCACTGCACTCCAGCCTGGGCGACAGAGACCCCGACTGAAAAACAGTCAACACATTCCAGTCAAAATCACAGCCAGATTTTTAAAGGAAGTCAACACGCTGACTCCAAGAAGCATTGTGGAGAACATGTGAAGGCAGGCTGAAAGAGCAAGAGGCCAGGCGCGGTGGCTCACACCTGCAGCCCCAGCGCTCCGGGAGGCCGAGGTGGGTGGATCACCTGAGGTCAGGAGTTTGAGAGCAGCCTTGCCAACATTTAGTGAAACTGTCTCTACTAAAAATAAACGAATAAATACAAACAAACAAAAACAAGAACAAATTGGTTGTGGCTGACACCAGGACTTCTGACAAAACACGGTCAACAAACACGTGAGGAAAACGGCAGTGCAGCAGGTGCTCTGTGGAGTCGGGAAAAGCCGAGCAGCTCGGTCGGCGCAGAACCACCGGCCTGGCGTGCTGGGAAAAATCAAGGTGGATCCTGCCTTTCACACCCCCACAGGTGCCGTCAGAAGGCATGGAAGCCCAGACACTGAGCTTGTCGCGCTGCAGTGCAGTTTGGAAAACACACAAGACGAGGTTTATCATCTTGGTTGAGAGGCACAAGCTCAGGACAAAAATCTGACACCAAGGAAATGTCCGTTCACCAAACCTGTCATGACAATGGAAAAAGGCCAGCAAGACCTGTGGTCAGGCGTGGGTCTCTCTGAACTCACGGGGAACCATGCACATCAATGGGAAATGGACGGGAGAAAGCACGTGACCACCATTCCCAGAAACGGAGCCGCAAACAGCCAGAACAGGAACGCAAAGCCCGTAACAGGCCAGCAGAGTGGCCACGTCAGCCAAGCCACTGCCGCTAGAACCCTGGAGACAGACACACAGCAGGGATGTGGCACGCGTGTGAGCAGACACCGCGTCTGGAACATAGACCTGGCAAGGCAGGGGGATTTGTGCACACGTGTGGTGCATGTTTTTTTTTTTCACTGTTTCCCAAAGAACGGTGCATGTACTATGCATACAAGTGCGTGGGCCTGGGTATGCACAGGAGAGAGAAACCTCCTCCCATTCCTTCCTTCCTTCCCAGCTATTTTCACTGGCAAGACAGTGAAACACAGGGCTTTGCCTCTTACCCAAGCACTGGCCTACAGGGAGGGATGAAAATAACAGAACGAATTCACCGTGACACTGGTGGCTGCCGTGAGCAGGGGCTGAGGCTGCCTCAGGAAACAGCTCACTTCGAAAATCCCTGTGCTGGGGAGGCACAGAAGCTCTTGCCTATAATCCCAGCACTTTGGGAGGCCAAGGTGGGCAGGAGTTTGAGACTAGCCTGGGCAACATGGAAAGAGCCCATCTCTACAAAAAACATTTTTTTAATTAGCTAAGCGTGGTGGTGCATGCCTGTGTTCCCAGCTACTCAGCCAGCTGACACAAGAGAATGGCTTGAACCCAGGAGCTCGAGGCTGCAGTGAGCTGTGATCAAACCCCTGCACTCTAGCTGGGGTGACAGACCGAGACCCTATCTTTAAAAAATAACAAAAATCCTCCTGTGCCTCCGCCCCAGGGAAGCCTCAGGCACAGAGGAATGGGGGACCCAGCAGTCTCAAAGGGGCTGGCCTAGCGGCAGCTGACCCCAACACAAGCCAGCCCTGCCCAGAGTTCGCCCCCAGCTAAGTTATGACTCCCCAGCACCCACCGGCCCTGCCCGGAGTTCGCCCCCAGCTAAGCTCTGGCTCCCCAGCACCCACCGGCCCTGCCGGGAGTTTGCCCCCAGCTAAGCTGTGCATCCTACATCCTCATTCTGGGACCACCAGCCTCACTCTGCCCCCAAGGTCACCTGTAACTCAGGGCTGCAAGCCCGACCCAGCACCCACCCCGTAAGCACTGCCCACGCCTGCCCTGCACACCCATGTCCCCACAGGAGCACCCGCAGGGCTCAGGAACAGTGGCAGTTGAGCACTGTGCTCGGTTGTTCATCCCCCCAGGGCTGGGCAGACCTGAGTCATCTCTCAGCGGCTAATGAGAGCAGCAGCCAAAGGATATTCTAAACCAGTGGAGCAGGGTTTGGTTCCAGTGTGGACGAGAGGGAAGACTTTTCCATAAGTGGAGCCTGGGAAGCCACATTCCAGGGAGGGGAAGGTTGCCACCAGCACACACCTGCTCTCTAGGCCCTGGTGCCGCAGGCTGCCTGGTCTGGCCATATGCTGCAGGTGCTCTGCAGCGACCTGACAAGGAAGCAGGTCTGCCTGGCAGGTACACGGCCTCTGGCTTAAAGAGCCAGCCATACTCCAGGCAAGACAGCACAGCGGCCCTTGGCAGGCAGGAGCCACAGAGAGGGCGTGTGTGGGTCCTGGGATACCGTGCCTTTGGGGAGGAGCTGGGAGGACAAGGCAATGCTCCTGCCAGCCCCACCTGCCACACAGAGAAGACACAGGCTACAGGCTGTGGTGTCACTGGCTGCAGAGATGGCCAAGGTGGAGAGGGCTGAGCCTGGGCCCCACCACCCCGTGCCCACCACACCTGCTCCCTGCCCAGGCCTCACGCCTGCTCAGAGCTGCATCTGTGAAGGAGAAGGCAGCACCTGGCTGTCCGGCAGCATGGACAGAGCACTGCAGCATGGGCACAGGCCGGCCATACGTCCCAGGGTTCTTCTGCAGCCTCCCCAGCTTGAGCACCACAAAGGCCAGACAGACACTCATGAAGCTGTCACAGAGCTGGACAGCCCCGGCCAACCCCACCACGACCTCACGTGGCCAGGAGGTGTAGTGTGGGCAGCACACAGGCAGCCTCACACAGCTCCATACGGCCACCTGTCCCGATTTCACCAAAGACTCATGGCCTCCCAGTCAGGGACTTCAGGGTCTGCTTCTAAAAACTCAGCAAGGCCCAGGAGAGGCAAGAGTGTGCCCAGAGCACCTAAAAATGGGGCTTGCCCTCCACAAACCCAACAAGCACCTCTGCATCAGGGAAAGCAGGTGCAGGCGCTGCTACAGGCATGGAGCCAGGAGCAGACCTCACACGGACACGATCCCTAAGGAGCCACGTGCCACCAGACCTCGCCCTCCACCATCCCTGCTCTCCCAGTGTGGGCTCAGGGCACGGGAAAGGTGCTGTGGGTTTGCCAATTAGAAACATGTGGCAGGGGGCCTTTGTCCCCTCCCCAAATCTAGAATCAGTAACAAGTACAGCAGGAGAAGGCACCCGCCCAGCTTCCATTGGGGAAGGAGATGTCACAGAGGAGCAGGCCCCACCTGGATGATGTCCGCCAGCTTCTGCAGTCCAGCTGTGTTGGTGAACACTCCAGCACCTAGGGGGCAGCAGGGCACTGACACCCACATCACAGGCAGGGGAGGCCCTGGCCCCGACCCCTTTAGCCATGAGCCAGCTCAGCTCCAGCTCCTGCATGATGGGGACCCAGGGTGGGTCGCAGCACCCACTCAGGGCAGGCAGCTCGCCTGCTCTTCCCAGCAACCAGGAGAGAAGCCAGGCAGGGACAGTCTCCAGGGGGGTCAGTGGAGCTTGAAAAGAGGCTCTATGGTCAAATAAGGGTTGAAGCAGCAAGAGCCACCCTCCCCAGCACCCAGGAGTGCAGTAAAGACCCCACTGGGTCTGGCATCTCAAACCAAAGCAGCCCATGGGGACACTGTCCCTCAAAGCCTCTGGACCCCACAACCCTGAGCAGAAGCAGGATTTGGGTGGCATGGAAAAGCCAGAGGGCCCAGAACCCAGCTAGGGCCTCGGGCTGCTCTTCCTTAAAAGGGGAATAATGGGATGAGGCTGCAGAACTACGGCTCTACAGCAGTTGGCAAGTGGCACTCATGCTGCCATGTCCCAATCGGAAGGCGAGGCTCAGCGGACCTGTTCCTGCTGACGGCTGACAGCAGGTGCGGCCGGGGGCTTGCGTGCCAGGATGGAAGGCCTGCACCCCGCCGCCCCACACTGGCCTGCACTGAAGACCCCACCCCAGCACTCACGTCCTGCCAGGTGCTGGATGATCTGGTCCAGCGAGTCCAGGATGCAGCCCTTGGTCTGAAACGTGAGCTGGGCTTCAGCAAACAGCTCAAAGATGTAGCTGCCGAGGAGAAGGCAAGCTTGGGCCTGGCGCCGGGGCGGAGACCTGGCTGCGGCTTTGGGAGCTTAAGGCAATGGCCATGTAAGTTTCCTTTCCTCGGAAACAAACTGAGCCGTCCAGGGGATGCCAGTACGGAAGGTGAGAGGTGGAGAGAGGAGACCTGGCCAGCAGGAGAACAGCCACAAGGGCAGGGGCCGCCCACTGGAGGGGAGGGATGGGGTTGCTGGGAGGTTGTCAGGGGCTTCTGGGAGGTGGTGGCAGAGTCCCCAGAGCTTTGGAAAATGACAGTGATGGGAGCAGCAGAAGCTACAGGAGGGGCCCATGGGGGTCCAAGGTGGCCAAGGAGCCAGGTCAGAGCCTTGGGCCTTACGCTGAGGACACTGGCTCCACCTGGAAGCAACTGGGAGCCCCCACAAGGTCGGCGCTCAGGGCCCAGAATGCGCTCCGCCTTGGTGGCTGTGTGTTGAGGAGAGCCCCCATGCAGGCCCAGCCCTGACTCCTCATCTGCCTGCAGGACAGACGATGAACCCTGCTGCCATGGCTGCGAGGACTAGAGCCCCACAGAGCATTCAGAATGTTCCGGGCCTCCCGGAGTCCACAAGAGGTGGCAGCTGGGACATGCACGGTCCTAACGATAAGGGCTTGTTCTAACAGGCCCCTGTGCTGCAAACGAAGGGCTGGAGCAGGGTCCAAGGAAAGGCCTGGCAGGGGAGAAACTATGGAAGACCCAGGGCCTGTATGGGAGCGTGTGCTGCTGCTCTCAACGTCTCAACAAGTAATATAAAGCGGGCGCTCCTGCTGGGTCTCACAAAGGGAAAACAGAACTCACTGGTGTGTGGGGACCCAGGACTGCAGCACGGCCTGTCTCTAGCTCCAGGCTGGGCCTGCAGTGACGTGGCTCCCTCCTCGCCTCTCACCTCCCTGGCTTGGTGACTCCACTGTTGTCTCCAGGCAGTTCAATGGCATCGATGGCCCCCTCCAGGCGGAGCAGAATCACTGTGGGTTGAGGGGGTGTCAGGGGAGGCCTCACCTAGCTCCAAGGAGGTAGGAAGGGCGGGAGGGCAGCACTTACTCTTCAGCTTTGCAATGTCTTCCAGCTCCATGTTCAGTCCTGCGTAAGAGAAAAGCAGCAAAAGCACAGTTCACGCTCGTTCCAACAACCGTGCCCGTAACAGGATCCCTGGCAGGGAAGAAAGGACAGCAACAAGGGAAGGAAGAGGCTCCGTGGAATCCGTGCAGGCCAGATCCGAACTGGAGACACCAGAGAAGCAGGAGATATTTTCTCTTTATTTATTTATTTTTGAAACACTGGATCCCATGAATGCGATTCACACACAGCATTCATCCCGCCTCTCCTGCGTGAACGGGACCACAACCGGCGTTCATCCCGCCTCTCCTGCGTGAACGGGACCCCACCCGGCGTTCATCCCGCCTCTCCTGCGTGAACGGGACCCCACCCAGCGTTCATCCCGCCTCTCCTGCGTGAACGGGACCCCACCCAGAGTTCATCCCGCCTTTCCTGTGTGAACAGCACCACACACAGCTGATGTGACGCAGACCACTGTCCTAAATTATTCCTGCTAACGACTAAGCTGTGGAATTAGCATACTACCATCTTTCAGCCCCCAATAATTAACAGATCCAGGTGTTCAGCAGCAACACTGTTAGCATCAGAAGAGAACGGAAACAGGATACTGTGATATGCCTGATAGGGCATCATCCCACCTGGAGCCCTGCAAAACGCAGCCCAAGTCTAACTGGGCTCTCAAGCTACCTAATGCCAGGTGTGGTGGCTCATGCCTGTAATCCCAGCACTTTAGGAGGCCGAGGCAGGCGGATCTCGAGGTCAGGAGTTTGAGACCATCCTGGCCAACATGGTGAAACCCCGTCTCTACTAAAATACAAAAAATTAGCCAGACGTGGTGGTGTGCGCCTGTAGTCCCAGCTACTTGGGAGGCTGAGGCAGAAGCAGCTTGAACCCGGGAGGCAGAGGTTGCAGTGAGCCGAGATCACGCCACTGCACTCCAGCCTGGCGACAGAACAAGACTCCTTCTCAAAAACAAACAACAAACAAAACAAAACCACCTAAATGCACCGGGAACTCGTGTGACTGCCCCTCTCGTACACAGATTAGACTCCTGCCCAAGTGTAACAGGCTCTCAAACCACCTAAGTGCAGAGAAGACGTGGGAACCGACAGGACTTCCCCTCCCGTACAGATTCAGACCCTCAGGGTAAACGGCCTGGGCTCTTCAATAAATAAAGTGTGAGGAAAAGAATGGACCCTGCTGAGCATGGTGGCACACGCCTGTAGTCCCAGGAGTTTGGCAGGCTGAGGCAGGAGAATCACCTGAGCCCAGGAGGTGGTGGCTGCAGTGAGCTGTGACGGCACCACTGCTCTCCAGCCTGGGTGACAGAGCGAGACCCCATCTCCAAAGGGGTGGGCAATGAACAGGGGTGAAAACTGAAGCTCCAGTCCTGAATGAGACAGAAGCAGCGTCCCCCACCACATGTCCCCCACGAGATTCAACAAAAAGCCCTGCACTTCAAGCAACTACCAAAACTGGAGAGTGGAGAAGGGAAACAGTGGTGATGGGGTGGGTGGCTGGTTTCTCACACGTTATATAACCTGGCCGAGGTGCTAGGAACCTTGCAACCTGGAAACACCATAGGCACAAACCAAAAACAGCCCGAGAAACGTCCTCTCTTCCAGCCAAAGGACCAGGAAGAGGACAGCCTTCTTGCTGGACAGAACTCTTCTGACCCAATCTGTCCCCCTTCCAAGTGACCACCACAAAGAGGCTGCAGCTCACCCCCCGTGATGCACTGTGGCCACGGACTATGCCATGTGCACGAGCAAACATCAGCAAAGAGGTGGCACTCCCCTCCCCGACGAAACAGCAGCTGCAGACACGGGAAGGAGACCTGTCACTCTCCCTACCCTGAGCCAAGCAAAGCATGGAAAGAGGTGGCCGTCTGCTCCCAGTTAGAGAGACAGGGTTGGGGGACCATGAGAGGAGGGAAGTGGAGCATTCAAAGTCCCAGGAACCCCTTCCCCTACTGCAGCACCCTGCGTGGCAGTCTTGAGAGCCGGTGGCAGTGGTATGCACCTGCTGTCCCAGCGCTTTAAGAGGCTGAGGTGGGAAGATCCCGTCAACCCAGGAGACCGAGGCTACAGGGAGCTGTGATCGTGCATTCCAGCCTGGGTCACAGAGTGAGACCCTGTCACTTAAATATGTGTATATACATACCACGGGACCCTAAAGCCAGAACACCTGAGCACTTCTGTGCTAAACAAATGACAAGTTTGAGAGCTCTCTCTCTACCACGCAGCAGCCTTGGTGAGGGGGTGAGGACGGGGCTGCCCAGGGTCCAGGGTCCCCATGGTGTCCGTCCACACGTGTGATTTTAAAGGAAAACGGGGGAAGCTGACGCTGTTTATACCCAGAGATGGTCACGTCAAAGTAGTGTCACAGCAGAAGAACATATGGAAATATTCACAGACTCCTAGTCAGCTGTTTACAGAGACCATGTAGAAAATACAGACCAACGCAGGGTGCAGCGGCTCACACCTGTAATCCCAGCACTTTGGGAGGCTGAGGCAGGTGGATCACCTGAGGTCAGGAGTTCAAGACCAGCCTGGCCAACATGGTGAAACCCTGTCTCTACTAAAAATACAAAAAATTAACTGGGTGTGGTGGCGGGCACCTGTAATCCCAGTTACTCAAGAGGCTGAGGCATGGAATCGCTCGGACCCGGGAGACAGAGGCTGCAGTGAGCAGAGACTGTGCCACTGCACTCCCGCCTAGGCGATAAGAGCAATACTCCATCTCAGAAAAAAAAGAAAGAAAGAAAGAGAATATGGACCAAATGAACACATCTATAAAGGATTTCCATGTGTGCCATGACCAGTGCTGTATGAAAATACGCCTCTGGACAAATGCTGGGAAGGAATCCACAGCACAGCAAGTGACATGGCAGCAGATTCGCAGGTCATTTAAAAATGCAAAATGCACTTACAGTGAATATATTTAGTTTTCCCTTTTTTTTGAGATGGCCTTACTCTGTCGCCCAGGCTGGAGAGCAGTGAAGCCATCTGGGGCAACCTCTGCCTCCCAGGCTCACGCTCCTCCCACTTCAGCCTCCAGAACAGCTCAGACCACAGGCGCACACCACCACACCTGGCTAAGTTTCTGGTAGCGGCCAGGTTTTGCTCTGTTGCTCAGGCTGGTCTCAAACTCCTGGCCTCAAGCGATGTGGTTTTCCAATTTTACATAGTAGAGGCCAAGTTGATACTGGCTGGGAGAAGACGTCTTCAGAAAATGCCAGAACTACTGAACAATAACGGCCCTTCCACGGTCTACAGGACCCTGAACAATTCACACCCAGGAAGCCTCTGAGAGAAGCTGATGCCATGCAGTGCCAGCCTGTGTAGTGCCCAGGGAGACCACACACAGTCACAGGGCAGGCTGCCACCCACGGCAGCCTGGGGCTCAGGACCCAGGAGCCTGGCTGTGAACGCACCTGAGCTGGGGGTGTCCGCGCTGAACTCCGGGTGGGGATCGCCCTGCTGCGCTGCCTTGGTTTGCTCCTCCAGCACCCGGTCTATGACGTCCAGTCCTGAAGCCAGGTCATGGGGGGTAAGGTCAAATGATGCCGATTCTTCACACATCTTCTCCTGGAGGCCAACCACACCCGAATCACCACAGAACAGGACATGATCGGGGGTTCCAGGAAGCAGAAATGGGTGGGGGTACAGAAGGCACAGGAAGCTGACAGCCAAGTCCCCAAAGCCATGTCCTGGAGTCTCTGAGGCCAGGTCACAAGCAGGTCCAAACACAACTGTCTGGCCAATGTTTAGAAACGATTATTTCAGGCCGGGCACGATGGCTCACACCTGTAAATCCAGCACTTTGGGAGGCCGAGACAGGCAGATCACTTGATCTCAGGAGTTCAAGACCAGCCTGGGCAACGGTGCAAAATCCCTTCTCTACAAAAAATACAAAAATTAGCCAGGCATGGTGATGTGCCCCTGTAGTTCCAGCTACTTGGGAGGCTGACTTGAACGCAGCAGGCGGAGATCGCAGTGAGCCAAGATTGTACCACTGCACTCCAGCCTGGATGACAGAATGAGATCCTGTCTCAAAAAACAAACAAATAATGATTGTTTCACTTGAGTTGCCAACATTTTTTTTTCTTTGAGACGGAGTCTTGCTCTGTCACCGGGCTGAAGTACACTGGTGTGATCTCAGCTCACTGCAATCTCCATCTCCGGGGTTCAAGCAATTCTCCTGCCTCAGCCTCCCGAGCAGCTGGGACTATAGGCAAGTGCCACCATGTCCAGCTAATTTTTTTGTATTTTTAGTAGAGATGAGGTTTCACCACGTTGGCCAGGATGGTCTTGATCTCTTGACCTCATGATCCACCTACCTTGGTGTCTCAAAGTGCTGGGATTACAGGCGTGAGCCACCATGCCCAGCCAACGTTTTTTTTTTTTTGGGACGGAGTTTCACTCTTGTTGCCCAGGCTGGAGTGCAATAGCGCGATCTCGGCTCACCGCAACCTCCGCCTCCTGGGTTCAGGCA